ACATTAAGATATTCCGTAAGTTATGAAATATTGTCACCGTTAGAGCCGCAGCTCGCGTGTACCTTGCGCCGGGCGTATAATTCAGCCGCGGAATATCACTTAGCATAATAAATCTTATCCGGCGGTATCTAACGGTAGCAGAAATTTTAATCTGCGGCCATCTTAATCGCGGGTGTGGCGGAGGCGCGTAATCAGCTCTTTAATTCCTGTAAAATCAGGGATAACGAGCAGCCCCGTTCGTTTTCACGTCGGCCGCTGTCTCCCTCGCTCCCGCCGCTGAAGCCCTACCGGCATTTCTTTCCCTCCTTTTGTCAGCTTTCAGACCCTAACTCACCGTCACGTTCACGGATATATAGAGGCGATCGTTACGCCGAAAGATCATCAATCACTACCGCGTCGGTTTAACTCGGCTACACGCAAAAGAGCCAGCTCGTGCACGCCGCGATCCACTTTCTTTTTTACACTCGGTTACGTCAACATGAGAAAAAAATATAGACGGGGAGCTGAGCAAGGGAGGGAGAGTGTGTGTGGAGGGAGCGTTCGGATGCAACGGGAATCGACATGGCGGCCGAGACAGAATGCAAAATTTCCGGTTACCAGCTTTTCGGAACACAGTTCAGCAAAAAACGTGACTTTTCACTGGCATGAAGTCTATATTGTTTTATAGTAAAATCTTATAGTTACCATATTAATTTACGATGATCTCTCGTGTAATCCCCTATTCTGAAATATCGCATCAAACACATAAAACTTGAACACGATCTTAAATACACAAACATTCACTAAAGAGAACCAAAGAACTAGCAGACCTGCCAGAAACCCAAAAAACTCCAGCAAGACGCAATCAAACTCATACAGACTTCCCCAAACCGAGCCATCCGAAACAAAAGTAAACCAGACCACCGAAAAATCACTCGAAGGAAAATCGCGAGACGTCTCGTCAACGGATACACCAGCGGATAGTAACCGCGAGGACCATCAGCGTTCAACCGTTCCCGTGTGTTCGTGCGGCATACGAGGAGGCAGCGACGACGTGTCTCTATAGGCGATGACAAAAGGCGAAATATGGGTTGGATCATCCGAATGTTCCGGGCTCGGCTCTACATGCTCCCCCACTTTTTACCGGTAATCTCGGCCCGTGCCTTCCGTAATAAATATAAAAGTATGCGCCAGGCCGGGGCAGGGGGTGGGCTCGGATAGCTGATAGTAACACGACTGTTGCCTTGTCAGAAAAGACCGGATGGCGACGAGCGGGGGTGGACAGGGCGCCAGTATATTATTTGGCGGGCCTCCAGCCGGCCGCGAGGCTCACTTCGTGCTTTTCATCTTAGGCATAGTTTTTTCGTTTTTCTTTTCCCCGCGCGCGCGCGCGCGCGAGCGAGCGAGCTTTTTTATTTTCTTTTAATACGTCGAACAAAAGGGGGCAGGCCCGACGCTCCAACCGGCAGCCAGGTGAACGACGGCGGTGGTATCGATGACGGGCCGGGGAACGCCGGCCGTGTTTCTGTTCTCTTGATTTTAGCATTTTTTTCTCCGCGTACGTTGATTTGACAGTTTTTTTTCGCCCGCAGTCCGCGGCCATTGTGGCGCGGGACCGGCTGAAAAGCCTCAATGCTGGGGAATAAAGGGCTTACTGAACGCTGCCCGAGGAAAAGGATGTTCCACGATTCCCTGATATCACGAGTGCTCCTCTATGCGGGCTTCTTCCTCTTTTTTCCCCCACCCCGCACACCCCTTTCGTTTTTTACTTTAGAATTGAAACCTCCGCTCGCAAGACGAACGGATCTCCTGGAACAGTCCGCGATTGACGTCGCTGACGGTGATTACGGTTCGCGAAACGACTGCAGGGGCCGTTTGTCGGCGGACGTTTCGCGGTGGCGAGCTAAATATTCGATTAATGTGTCGTCTATGATGTTTGTGGGGTATTATGCATTCTTGTGAGATAATGAGCTGCAGTGGGAATGACTGATAGGCGGTGGTTTTTCGAGGTTTATGAATTAGAAAGTGGGAATGTCATTCTGATAGATATCTTTGATTTATAAGTTATCTTCGAATGGCATGTGCGCGTTATTTCTGCTCCTCCTTGCACTAGGAGGAGCTGTGAAATATAATTTGTAGTCGGTCCGACCGTACTGTAGAAGAAATCATAGAAAAATAGGATTCGAATCGATAATTCTTTTCAACCGAGCGCGCTCGACCAGCGAGATATTCACGTATGATACATTTCTGTCAGATAAGCGATTACTCGGCTACCGCACGTTCGCAGGTACCCGTGCCGGCTCGAGGTGCCCGGCTCTACACAGATTTCTCGGTTCGATCGTTAAATGTACATCATTTAGATAAGCATCAACGTATCATAAATATAAGCCAGGCGAATCGTAACTTATAGCTTATTAAACATGATTTACCACAAAGTGAGCACAGCGTGCGATAAGCAGCGGATAACAAACGCGCGGATTCTAGCCGCCGCGAGCAACCCAATAAAAAAACTAAATTATCCAACTTCCTGATCCACCAAAAAATAATCAACCGAACATATATTGAAATTACAATATGCATCCACTAATCTAACACAAAATCACCTTCAATAGAATTACTCGCACAAAGTCTAATATAGAATTTCTAATTTCCTTATGTCCAACATAAACATTAATTCAAATATCTATTCTACCATCAAACAACACGATCGTTCCAGAAAATCAACCATCCCTCACAATTCAATACTGTCCATTGAACCATTTAAACCAACACGACCATTAGAATTTCCAAACCCACTGCGGAACACGAGGAATGGTTAATGGGAAACGGTAGCTTTCGAGGGTGAAACGGGAAACAGCGACGGAACGTTCGGTGTCGGCTGTTCCGGCCGAAAAATGGTAAACGATAGGCCACCGATCCGTTTCCTGGTCCGCGAAAGGCATACGAAGAGGCTAATGCATCATCGGGGCTACCTTCCGCACGCTTGCACCGGGAGCACGGTGCGGGACGAGTGCGTGCCGTGGCTGCATATAAGCGGCGCATTGATAGACCGCCGCGCCGCATGACTCCCCATTGGCGAACGCTTAGAGAGCGCATAGGCCCCGGTGCACCGTGGGAACTGGAGCACTCTGCATACACACGGCCAGAGAATGGCTCGGCTGCGCCGCGCGCGACTGTGCGCGGCCCTCTAAACACGACCGAGACAACGACGAAGAGGAGGATCCGAGCGACGCGACGCGACGCGACGCGTTTCTGCAGCACGAGGCAACCGGGATCCTCTCTATAAATCAACGGGGCCCAAGCAGTTTCTCTCCGCGCGGGAGGTGGAACAATATCCTCTCCTAAGGTCTTTGCCTACCGTGCGCCTACCGGTACCCGCTCGTGCTACCTGCAATAGAGGAGAACTCCGCGGGTACCGTCGCGATTAAATACAAATAGAAACAACTGGTGGCTCCTGCGCGCGATTTCGATCGGTAATCTCGACGCGGATCGATTAGCAGGTGCTCTACTTTGTTTGGTCAGGAGATTGGGTGTCCTTATAGGTCCTTGATGTTTGGAGGACTGGACGTGTGAATGTAACAGTTTTGTTGACTTTCGAAGCTTCAATGAGGATCGTTACTTAACTTAGATCTGAGGGATTTTCTATTGAGATTTTGTATTCGTAGAAACTGGTTTCATCAAAATCGCTTCGGGGATACAGGTACCACAGATGGATATTCTAAATTAGGGGATCGCTGCAACCGAAACATCAAACTCCACAGTTCACAAATCCCTAAATCGCCAACCTAGTCATTCTCATCGTCGACAACACAACAACTCATACAACAGAAGATCGAAGACGACCAATCTCCAATCCATAATTCTCCAAAACCGTCGGAGGAACGCGTCGATCCCGTCCGCCGTCTCTGCATCCGGGCCTATCTAAGAATCGATTTCATTAAGAACGTCCGCAAAAGCGTTCCGAAACCCGTGACCAAGATTCGATCGGCTGATCCAAGAATTCGCGTTGCGGGTCTTGTTAGCGCAGCCGAGCCGAGCGGAGCCGGACACGCGGCCCGGCTCGGCGCGCGGGGTGGCGCGGTGCGCGCACTTATCGGGCGCACGTCGGCGGTGCCGGGTAAACGGTTGAACGCCGGTGCAACGGACAGTTCCACACACATCGGTGTCGGAACTGTCTACTCCCGGTTTCGTCGGCGGCCCGATATATCCTCTTTTCTGCCCCTCAACCCCCGGCCGGCGGCATGACCCCTACTCACCAGTCCAAGGGGGCAACAGGATTTTTTCGCGCGGCTCGCCGCCTCCAGCGGCATTATTAATGACCGCGGAAACCGCGTCAAAGATCTCACGAGCGCGCGCGCTCTCCCTTCGAGCGGGCTAGCGAGCTAGCGAGCCGAGCGTGATCCGCGTGTGTACGATACGCATTTTTTTTTCGCTGTCTCGTTGTGCAGCATGGCCGCCGCGTGATGAATGGCGGCTGAACCCGGAGAGTAGGAATGTTCTTGTCCCTCCGCGGCGTAGAATCGGCGAGATCCGCGGATGAGCTACTAGACGCATCGTGATTTAACGCGGTCCGGCGCGTATGACGTGCCATTGTGATTTAGGTGCTTAGATATTAACAGCTCCGCCGGCGTCGCCACCGACGCGGCACCCGATAGAACGGCCAGAGGGGATCCACTATTTCGCTGGGAATTTTCAGCAGGAATAGCTGATACGACGGTACGAAAGACTGCATCGCAAGCAGCGTCCGTCACGCGTTCGATTCGCCTCGATGGAATCGCGTTATTAATGGGGAATTGATATATCTGACCGCGATCTTTACTCCAGCCTCCGCGTTTAGTCGCGTCGCTGGAACTGCCGGCGTCTGAGCTACGATCACCGCGGTTAAATGCCCGATTGTCGGAACGGCTTCGATGCTATCGATTAACAGTGCTTTCGAATTGTTTCGGTTGCGGTGTGGATGCTTTGCGACTCGGGTTATCCATTTTTCTATAGATTTATAGGGCAGCAGTGAATACTCAGAGTTGAAACATTCAGTCTTACTGTTTTATTAAAATGTTCGAGACTTTGCAGCAATGAAAGAGCAATTTTAAATCTTTGGGTTATTGCGTATGTATGATGTAATCGCTTACTTTGGAATTAATACAGTTGCAGAAGCTTTAGAACCTTTTTAGGGGGCACTGAACAGAAAGGAATGCTTTATCTTCGATACCCTGTCTTTTTAGCATTGCCATTTTCCTATATGGCAGTAGAAAATGTTTCCAATTACATTTGTGATTTCTTCAACGCAGCGACATCAGCCGCAAGATCGGACACTTTCTTCCTCAATTCACGGACCTGCTCGTTCAAGCTGCCAACTTCATACCGCAACGTGTCTGAAGCACCTATCTTGCGATCGACGCATTTATTTAAGATTGCATCGTCGTCTTCTGCCCCCAACTCGTGAGCTTGACACTCTTCGATCAACAAATCACTGATACTCCAGTCCTTGATGAAGCGAATGTGATGGGTACCTAAGTACCAAGTCATCGCCGAACGACACCGATAGGACCACGGGTTCCCTGCGATCAAGATCCTCCTCAGTTTCTTCAGCTTCCTCAGCATGTCCGGCGATAGACATGCGTTCAGCTCGTTGTAAGCTATGTCCCAAGTATGCAGCTCCGGCAGGAGATCATAAATTGCCGGGTCTATGTCGACAATACTGTTCCGCCAGAGAATCAACGCCTTCAAATTCGATAATCCTCGGATCCACGAGGCGTCGATCCTACGGATTTTATTGTTCACTAAACCAAGCGTCTGCAGCTTTGTCAGGTTGCGGAAGGCGTCAGGCTGTATCTCTTCTACTCCGCAGCCGGTTATGTTCAGTTCGAGCAATGAATTGGAATACTGTCTGAACGCATCTGTCTTTATTACGCTGATGTTTGAATTTATTATGTTGATACCCTTTGCAGTGGGCGGTACCTGTAACTGTTTATTTGAAGATTTTCAGATTTGCAGATTTGCAGATTTAAAGATTTACAGATTTAAAGATTTAAAGATTTAAATATTTAAAGATTTGAAAATCTGAAAGTTCGAAAATTTGAAAATTTGGATATTTGGAGATTTGAAAATTTAAAAATCTGAAGGTTTGAAGATTCGAAGATTTAAAGATTTGCAGATTTGAATGTTAGAAGATTTGAAGGTTTTAAAAATTTGAAAATTTGAAAATTTGAAGATTCGAAGATTCGAAGATTCGAAGATTCGAAGATTCGTATATTCGAAGATTCGAAGAATACAAGATTTGGAGGATTGAAGATTTGAAGATTTGAAAATTTGAAAGTTTGAAAACAACACGAAAACTCACATCATCCAAGCCATTCAGTCCTTCGCACTGATAATAGTCTTGTCGGCCACCTAATCCTGGTTGACAGGTCGCGATGCAAGAGGCCAGGAGGGCCGCGAACGCTATCGATCCGAGCAATGCTCTCATCTTGCTCAAAATTTGAACAGCGACTACGCCTCGCAACCGCGGAGCCGCCGGCTTTTATACTGATTCGTATCGACTGCCGAGAGGACGTTAATGTCACGGCCGCCGTCAAGGAAAATATAATGCGGGGAAGCACTGCCGATGAAAAAAAAACAAATCCGTGTCGTGGTGAGACACACAGTGCAACGCGCGGTGCATAGCAAACACAAACGTAATAAAACGGTTGTGCCGCGAATGGCCGGCCAGAGACTTAGACTCTGGTTTGCCTTGCTGAATTTTATCTGAAATTCAACCGGGCGACGAGGAATCGAAGCTTCCACGAAACGGCCTCGAAGTGCAACACGCTGATTTTACAAATGCATATATTCCACGGACCTTCAAGCGCGATTTCAGAAGAACGAAACGTCAAAGAATATCTTCTTTGTGAAAAGAACGTCTATACGAACACCTGAAGATGTTTTATTTAAAAAAAAATGTATAGATTAGAGACGACAAAAAATAAAAGAATCATTAAAGGACGCGCTGATTAAAATAAACGTAAAATTTTAATCACGGGGCGTCAATTTCTATTATAACAATTATTTCAATTAAATACAGCAACAAGTAAAAAATCTTTTTCGCTTGAAATGCTTTACGTACGAAGTATAAAGTCTTAAGCATTTATTCATTATTTTCTTCATTAGAAAGCAAACTTACATAGTGAATCAAACATTTCTAAGCAAATTGTTCTGTATGTTTAACACGTTGAATGCCATGGGGTCACCGGTGACCCCCAACCAAATCGAGTTACTACAGTTCACTGAATTAAACAATGATTATTTGAAAACATTTCTATATTATAAATAATGCTACTTAATTTCGTAAAATTTAGGTAGAAGAACCTGCAACACTAACAATGCGATTCAATCAAATGATTTAATATTATATTCGTTCCATTTCAAGTATTTTATACCATGAAATCGCGCGGCATTCGTGTTAATAAGTTCGCTAGAATTTCAAAGTTTGCCGACACGAGGTTGTTTGCGTTGAATGTATCGCTGAAGCGGCTGAAAAACACGTCGACGTATCTCGTACATCAGTGTCCATTTCCATCCGAAGAAGTCTTCGATTCTGAGAAGCTCGATTATTGGCAGCACGCACGCGACTCCTCGGACGTTCAACGCTGAATGGCCGGCCGATCGCAAGAACGTGAACGAGTCTGATTAAATAATTAGGATTCCCCGTCCGTTCCTGCTACTCGCTCGTGTCACCGATGCTAATGCCTCGTAGACTACGCGAAACCGGTTCCGTCGCGCGAGCGACACAAAATTGATCGCGATACCTGCAATTTGACGCCGCATGGGAAACTCCCACTTCCACGGGCACCCTTTCCGCACGTATTGAATCGTTCCTGGACAATAAGTGTACGATTTCATGCTAATAACGCTCGTCACGCCTGTCTCGCGTGGCTCTGACAGTTAATGACCAGGCGCGATTGTGTTTGCCGATACACGTGATGACAGACCTCGCCGATTGCTGGTCATTCGGGAAGATAGAAAAGAATTCTTCGACTATTTAATAACAATATTAATTACTATTTATTTCACTTCGATACTTAATTACTTTATCGACTTCAAGAAGGAACTGAAAGAAACACTTCATGATGGTACATAATTATAATAATTAACAGTAATCAAGATGGTCACATTACATTTCTTCGGTCGACAACATAATTAAGAACTGCTAAACCAAAGTTACTAATCTTCATTCAATTTATCATCTCTAAAAATACTACATAAATACATAGAATCTTTATAATAATCAACTATTAAAGCTCGACATCTTCTACATTGCAAAATGTAAAATATGTAGTATCGTAGTTTTAAGACAGCGGGACGGCGAGTGTTCTAAGGGTCATTTGACCTGTACACTGCGAGCTATATCGTTTCTATTTATTTGTATTCTATTCAATTATCTATTCCTGTGTTTTTTTTAAATAAAACATATTAAAATACCATTAATACCACAAATATATAAACGATTTTCTATCGGTAGCCTCAATATTTAGTTTCCAAGTGAAAGAGCGAATTTCTGGCGGTGTAATCAATCGAAACTACGTGAGGCCGTTTCGCGTTTCTCGAGAACCCCGAATTCCCGTCGCGTTTTCAGAGATCGAACGATGATCCGTCGCGATAACGCGGCTACGTGTTTTACAGGCATAAAACGCCGCGGAAACCGTGCGCGACACATAATAATAAAGCGCGTTACTTCGATCGCGCTGTAATCACCCGAATAAAGCCACCTGACGTTGCCGCGGCGTGGGCGCATTTGTCACTCTCGTGCCGGCGAATAAAGTGTTTGCGCACTTCTATAAAACGATGGTGTACGGTGATAACAGGGTCGGGCGATAAAGCCGCGGCGTATCTGGCATGTGCATCGCGATAAGGAGGGGCCGCGCGCCGATCCAAAATGCCGTAAAAATGCGTTAACCCTCAGTTAACATCTGCTAATCTCGCCCTCTCCGCGGCCAAATTAAAGACAAGCTGCCGGCCTCGCGATTCGACGGTGAAATAAGAATCATAAAGTGAACTGAATAACGTAATTTCCGTATATTCTTGATTAAACGCGGCTGATTAGGAATCAATATTTTGATAAATATTATTCGAACCTATTGATATTAACACTAAACTACCGAGCAGTTCAATTGACTTTTCAAAATTTCGCTATAGAAATTCCAAGAGTGCATCTGTTCAGACTTTAATTGATTTACAATTCAATTTGCGTAGTGCTAAACGAATTTCTTTAATAATTTCTCAGAGAAACATTTACCTTTCTAATAATTGCAGAAAGAAGACATCAGGCATGAGTCATTTGGCCCGTCTGGTAGTTTTAGTCTTAAAGTAGACAAATTTTAAGCATTCGTTTTAGATATGACTATGTAGTTACAAGCTTGACAGTTTGAAAAATGTCCATTAAGTTTATAGAAATTGTTTTTGTTACGATATAGATCTTGGAACGATAGAACCTTATGTTTGTGATAGTCTACTCTATAGAAATGTCGGAGACTACACGAAGCTTCGCGTAGAACCCGCTTAAAGAGAAGACAATACTTAAAGGGGAATGAAAACTTAATTACCCACTAACCCCAAATGCTTCCTAAATCTTAATTTCCTCGTTAACTGTGAGTTGAATATCACTCCTGGATTAAACGTGCTACAGAATACCGTAAACACAGCATTACCGAGGGCATAGAAAGACAATAAAGACCTCGTTCACCTTTAAATCCTTAACTTCGGAATACTTCGCCAACTTCGCGTCTACCTTGAATCATCTACACTTAGACATCCCGTTAATAACAGTCTACTCACCAATTACGAAAATCATTCCCAAAATTCCTTCTCCCAATCTACAATTCATCCACTCAAACAACACTGCGGTACATTCAGCACCTTGCCCTACAACATCCAGCCACACTCGTGGCGATGATTTCACAAATAAATATCACTCATCTTCTCAGTCGAAATACAACATTATTTATCTACTATTAAGCCTTTGCAAAAGTCCATCAAAATTACAAAGTTTGATGTATTGTATAACATTAAAATTCATTCAACGTGATTATCCATGAAATAAAATAGAACAGTTCTATCCCTCGATTTCCATATTATTTATATTAACGTTACTTATAAAACCTACCATTGATATTTCATTAGAAAATGAATAATACATCTAACGAAACAATGCTCGAGTGCAAAGGGTTAATTACAATGCTTCAGTACACATACAACTTTCTTTCAAAATAAAACATTTCACATAAAATACCTCTGTTAAGAACAATTGTACCACAATTGTCATGTACACAGGGTAAATATTCAAATTCGATCTGCGCCCCTCAAAGAAGCAGGAGCCGGCACGCAGCAGCATTTGACACGTGCAATTAGCGCGACGCTCCGTATCATATGAAACGCGACAAACGGGACAAGGGAATTTCCTAATTTTCAATTTCGCGCGGGTAAACAGCCCTGCGACGGGAACGACCGGTTTATTTCGTGCCGGGCTAGTTTGCGCCCCGAGGACCCGGAATAAAGCAGTGCTCGGCGTGCCCTTCTTAAGGAAACCCAAACATTTAGACGGCGAACTTCCCCGCGGAAAGTGTGAAACACGCACGAACAGCCCGGCAGCGGCGCTCCCCTCGCTACTTATTTCGCTCGGCGGTCTCCGTCTGGCCCGTTCTTCTCGATCACCATATCTCTGTCTGTCGTTTCCCCCCTTTCGCGGCCGGCCCGTTGCTACTGGACAACTGTTGCTGGGTAGTGCATCCATTATTACAGCATTACGATTTGCCGTCGCACCACGTGCGCGCCGCGCTTATGCATATATGCAGACCTCTCTCCGTGCAACACCGCCCCGAGTGTGGGTGCGTACACTGCCGCTCAAAAGTATCCGAGCTTCTTGCTCGTTCGGCGCGGCATGTTATTTAAATGACACGCGAAACTATTCCCGTCGGGATTTGAATAGTTCTTCGAGTTCGCCGCGACGGTGCCGCGCGGATTAATAGGCGAACGGTTTTTGCTTGTCGCTTGGCTCCTCGGATAATTGTCGGAAGCCCCGCTTTGCGTCTTCGCGAAGTTTCGCGGGTTTCTGGAAGAATAGAATGATCGGCTGCGTTTCGGTAATGTTCGATATTTATTGGCTTTCGTTTAGGTTAACCCTTTGCACTCGAGAATATTTTTCTTAAGAAATGTTCACTATTTTCTTATGAGACATCAATATGTTTTACAACATAAAGAAATACCTTGTATAAATGAAGTGACTTGTATAAATGAACTCTAAATTTGATCATTTTGTTCGGCCAAATCAAATGGCGATTGAACGGCGCCGCTCGAGTGCGTAGGGTTAATAGGTGAACGGGTTTTGTAGATTGGTTTCTAAGATAATTCAGTGAAGTTGGGGTTTACGTTTTTTTAGTTTGCTGGGTTTCTAGAGCAATAGAATGATTACCTTTCGGTAATATTCAGAATTCAGTGGATTTTATGTAGTCTACGCTATTTATATTGGTAGTTCATTT